TTTCTCCCGCAGAGCGGCTGGTAGTTTCGAACCGCTGACCTTAAGGTTCGCAGCCCGATTCGTAACCACTACGCTACCAGAGCTCCTTATAGTTGTTGCTAAGTGCCATTGAGTCCGTTTCACCTTGTAGCAACCCTGTGTAGCGTTTCCAAGGAGTGACTGATGGGTCTGAACTGCCAACCTTGTGGTTAGCAGGTCAGTGTTTATTCTACAGCACCATGTAGTTCGATAATCAAAATTTTGTTTTACCATCCTTTAAATATATTTTACAAAGTGGATACTCTTCCAGGAGATAGATGCAAATCACTTTAATGTGGGGTTAAATTCAATCTTTAGTAATGACCGGGTGGAGCAAATGGTTAAGTACTCAACACTAACTAAAAGATTGGAGGTTTGAACCCACTCAGAGGTGCCTTGGAAGTAAGACCTAACAATCTGCTTCTGAAAGGTCCCAGGCACGAAAACCCTGTGGAGTGAGTTCTACTCTGCACAAATAGGATCATGATGATTAGGAATCAACTGGATGGGTTCTAGCAAGAACATGTTCAATCTTTCCGGGCTCTTGTTTTCTTTGTAACTTTTTTTAGTCAGATTTAGAAATGCTTTGTGCTTTCAAGACAGAAAAATGTTTTTGACTTCTAAAATAATTTTGCTGAACTGTTAGAGCTTATTGGTTTGAGCTCCATGTCTGGCCTTTGTGTACGTGTCCAAAAGATACACAGTTTTTCTAATGGCACACGACAAAGTGAATACAAGTAGCAACAACTAGAAACAGATTGACTTCTTCATATAACATCCCACATTTAGTATTTTCCAAAACTCCCAGTACTTGTACTCCCTGAAAACATAAACTGTCTTTTTATTTACCTAGGCCTGTAACTGCAGCAGTGTGGGGTCCACTCATCACCAGTGTGATGTGTTGACTGGCCACTGCCCATGCAAGTCCACCTTCGGAGGTCCAAGCTGTGACCAGTGCTCTATGGGACACAGAGACTTTCCAGCCTGTGTTTCCTGTGAGTGTGACCTGAGGGGAACATTGGTGGATGCTTGTGATCAGGAACAGGGCCTTTGCGGCTGTGAAGAGGAAACCGGAACCTGCTCTTGCAAGGTATTTGCCGTGGACACTTCTTCCTTCCTCTCTCCCACCACCATTATAACTTTTATGCTTCTAACTTTTTAAATGAACAGCTAGGTTTTAGACTCTTCTCTCGATAGCTCCTCTCTAAATGAGTTCACAGTACCTTCTATGACTCAAGAGTTTAAATTCTCAGTACATTCTTCCAGAACGATGGATGAACTCTTTAAATGGCTATTTTACTGTTCAGTTCAAGTGTCAGGTAATGAAACTGATTTGAAAACCACTCTTGACTTTTCTGTCATATGTTCCAGTTGTGGGAGTAATCGTCTTTCTTGAACATATAAGTGAAATAGACAAAGCAGGGTTTCACAACGATCGGTAATTTTATAGCTGTTAAGGAATTATTCTCTTGTATGTCCTGGCCAGAAAAATAAGATTTCAGTGTCATGTGTTTTTCATTTCACGTATTTCCATCCGCTTTCCCATTGTGTTTTGTCGTTAGGATGGCCCCTCAGAATCTTTTCTGGAGGATGTGGGCAGGCAGAGGGAAGAATAGATGCCAAATGGTAATGAATTCAATAGTGATTATAGAGGAGGAGGGAAAAACTCATTTAGATATCACTGCCTATAAGTAAAGGAAACATCTGTCTGCATATTTTTGTTTTACCATACATCAGATGGATCTTGGCTGAAAGTAGAGAATATCAGAATGATGTTTACCTGTACTTTATTGACTATGCAAAGGCTTTTGACTAGGGATCGTGACAAGCTGTGAATAACATTGTAAAGAATGGGTATTCCAGAACACTTATTTGTGCTTGTGAAGAACCTGTACAGTGACCAAGAGGCAGTTGTTTGAACAGAACAAGGGGATACTGAATGGTTTAAAAATCTGGAAAGGTGTATGCCAGCATTGTATTCTTTCACCATATTTATTAAATCTGTATGCTGAGCAAATAATTTGAGAACTGGCTTATATGAAGAATGTGGCATCAGGATCTGAGGAAGACTCATGAACAACCTGTGATATGCAGATGATACAACCTTGCTTGCTGAAAACAAAGTTGTTGTTGTTGTTATGTGCCGTGGAGTTGGTTCCGACTCATAGTGACCCTGTACAGGGTTTCCAAGGCTGTAAATCTTTACGGAAGCAGAAAGCCTCATCTTTCTCTCGTGGAACAGCTGGTAGTTTCGAACTGCTGACCTTGCTGTTTGCAGCTTGATTCGTAATCACTACGCCACCAGAGCTGAAAATAAAGAGGACATAAAATACATATTTAAGGATGAAGACCACAGACTACAGCCTTCAATATAAGTTGCACCTCAATGTAAAGAAAACAAAACTCCTCACAACTGGACCAATAAATAATATAATGATAAATGAAGAAAAGATTGAGGTTTTCAAAGACTTCTTTTTATTTGAATCCACAATCAATGCTTATGGAATCAACAGTCAAGAAATGAAACAATGTATTACACTAGGCAAATCTGTTACACAAGACCTTTTAAAAGGGTTCAAGAACAAACATACCAGTTTGAGGATTAAAGTGCAGCAGTCCAAGACATAATATTTTCAGTAACCTCATATGAATGTGACATTTCATATGTAACCTCCTATAAAAGGGAGACAGTGAATAAGGTAGACCCTAGAAGAATTAATGAATTTGAGTTCTGGTGCTGGATAAGAATATTAAAAATACCATGGACTGCCAGAGGAACAAACAAATAAGTGTTGGAAGAAGTACAGCCAGAGTGCTCCTTAGAAGCATGGTGAGGCTTCGTTATTCCTGCTTCAGGTATGTTATCAGGAGGGAACAGTCCCTAGAGAAGGACATCATGCTTGGCTAAATAGAGTGTCAGGAAAAAGAAGAGGACACCTAACAAGATGGATTGACACATTGGCAGCAACCATGGGTTTAAGTGTAACAATGATTGTGAAAATGGTATAAGATCGGACAGTGTTTTGGTCCGTTGTGCATAGGGTCACTATGAATTGGAACCATCTAGAAGGCACCTAACAACAACAACACATAATTATGCCAACAATTCTGATTTAAAGAGCCGAACAGAAAGGCACCTAAGTTACCCCACCCTGAGTGGTCATCAGAATCCCCTGGGACTCTAGGAAGATTCCTGGGCCCCGCCCCAGGGTCTCATCTTATAGGAGGTGTGAGTTTGGACTTGAGAAGTGGTGTTTCCAGAAAGCCTCCGAGATAATTCTGATGATCAATCATGTTTGCAAATCACTGACTGAGTCTTAGAGAAAACCGATGCTCAGAGAAGAGAGGGATCTTTCTTGCCCAACGGGACAACTAGTTGTTGATTCAAAATGCTTGGCTGCTTTATTTTGTTTCTGTTTGCTTAGAAATCGCCATCTCTTTTTTCCAGGTATACCTGAATCAATTTTTTTTTTTTTTTTGTCTTCTCTAGGAAAATGTTGTTGGCCTTCAGTGCAACACGTGTAAAAGTGGCACCTATGCCCTTGATGCTGGCAACCCTGCAGGATGCATCCCATGTTTCTGTTTCGGGCTGTCACAGTTCTGCACAGAATTAGCAGGCTATGTGAGGATTCCAGTAAGTTATGTGTACAGTGAAAAGATTCTATTTTGTTGTTTTTGAAGCTTTTATTGTTGTTTGGGTGCAAGTTTACAGAACAAAGTAATCTTCCATTCAACAATTTATACACATTTTGTTTCTTGACAATAGTTGTTAACTGCACTCTTCATACTTCCTCCCTGAGTTCCCAATTCATTCATCCTTCTTTCCTGCCCAAGTGCCTTCCGAGCTTTATTTCTTGTCAAATGCTGCCCTTTTAGTCATTGATGATTGATTGTCCTGAGGAGTCCATTCCTCCCAGGTAGTATTGTTCACTTTACAGGCCGGTCTGCCATTTGACTGAAAGCTGATCCCTGGGAGCGTGTTCTGTTCCAGGATTGAAGTGTATCTAAAGACCACAGTCTCAGGGGATCCCAGTCTTTATTAGACCAGCAAATCTGGCCTTTTTTATGATTTTGAATTTTATTTTACATTTTTTTCCTCCCTCTGTGCCAGGACCTTCTGTTGTATCCTGATCAGATAGGTTGGTAGTGGCGACCGGGCACTATCCAGTCCTTCTGGTGTCAGGGCAGTGGAGGCTGTGGCTTGCAAGGTCCATCAGTCCTTTGGACGGATTGTTCCCTTGAGTCTTGATTTTCTTCACTCTCTACTTTGCTCCAGATGGGGAGAGACCAATTGATTGTATCTTCAATGGCCACTTGCAAGCTTTAAAGACCCCAGTTGCTACTCACCCAATAGGATGTAGAACATTATCTTTGCAGATTATGTTATGCCAATGAGTCTAAATGTCCCCTGAGACTACAACTCTAAATCCCTAAGCTCTCAAGGTGTTTCATGTGGCTAAGAAGTCTTCAGATCCTTGCCCGTTTATGCTCTACCATGACCTTGGATATATTTGCAGCATATGCAAATATATAGAAATATCCTTTACCAAATCTATGTATTCTCCTGGGTGTTCTTCCATTCACCTTCTCACATCTGTTTAGCTTGGGGTGCCTACTTATGTGTCTGCTCTTAGCTATTATGATTGCTACTATGTATCAGTATGTACATATTTTACTCTTGTGTACCTCGTCCTCCCTTGCCTTAATTATGTTGTGCTAACTTCCTCTTACTGTATATTGCCTTTCCCATCACCTAGGCTAATAGGTGCCCACTCTTTCGTTAACGATTTACCCTCCCCTCCCATCCCTGGTGACCATCAAAAAATATTTCTGTGCATAAAACTTTTCTTGACTCTTTATAATAGTGATCTCAGACACTAGAAAATGTTCTATCACTCTGGGTGCAACTGTGGGAGACAGTTACACATGTTAAACCATGTTCACATGGCATCAGGAATCCTAGGAGCTAGTTTGGGTTAAAGGAGCTCTGGTAGCATAGTAATTATGAATTGGGCTACTAACCTCAAGGTCTGCTGTTCTGTGGGAGAAAGGTGAGGTTTTCTGTTCTTGTAAAGATTTACAGCCTTGGAAACAGGGTCACTATGAGTCAGAACCGACTCCATGGCACACAGCCACCACCAGTTTGGGTTAACACATGAGTCAGAGCTCTGCTTCTTCTATCAAAGGTGTAAAACAAAAAACAAAACAAAGCCAAAACAAAAAACAGCTTAAAATAAAGGCATTCAGTGTTGTTCCTTAGCTAATTTAGCAAAAGCATTAGTTGATGAGACGATATAACTGCAACATCGCAATATTCTTCATACAATTAAAAGTTGACCGAATGTAACAATAGTTTGATCCTAAGTGCACTAGTTTAAAGCATTTTTAATTCCTTTCAATTCATATGTTGAAGTTAAAGGCAACACTTTTGCTATTCTTATTTCAATAATGAAGCTGGGATGGGGAATCTGAAAGTGAACTATTGGCCTTAATCCATGTTCTGAAATCACATTTCTCTTTCATTCATTGACTAGGTAATGCTGGCCTCAGACCAGCCTCTTCTGCGTGTGGTTTCTCAGAGTAACCTGGAGGGCACAACCAAAGGTGTGTATTACCAGGCCCCCGACATCTTACTGGATGCCTTGACTGTCCGGCAGTATGTGCAGTCAGAGCCCTTTTACTGGCGACTTCCAGAGCAGTTCCAGGGAGACCAGGTGAGGCACGCATCCAGTCTGGAGCAGGGACACTTGGGGTATGGATGTAATTTTAAACCAGAAAAGACTTCAGATTTGGTTCAAAACACTTTTATTTTTCTCCTTCCTGCAGTAGTCATTCAATAAACATTTTAAAAGTATTTGCTAATAAACTTGTCTAGGTGCTATTGTTCAGGTTGTCCTCAAGAAATCTTAATTCACTTGAAATGAAAAACATACTACAAAATAGTCTTGAAAGACACTGATTATATTTTTTATTATTATTATTTTTTATTTTTTTATATTTATTATGATTTGAGTTAAAATTTATGCAGCAAATTGGTTTTTCATTCAACAATTCTTACACATTTTATTTTGTGACATAGATTGCAGTCTCCACAGTGTAACAACTCTTCCCACTTCTGCCGTTTTCCAGTTTGCACTTAGCTGCCTTTCTTACCCACTCCTGCCTTCTGAACTTCTTCCCTGGGCAAATGCTGACCTTTTTAAGTATTATTTTTAAGTAATTTATTTTATCATATATTATTGAAAATACACACAGCAGAATATATACCAATTCAAGTTTCAACATGTACAATTCAGTGACATTGGTTACATTCTCCAAGTTGTTCAACCATTCACATAAACCTTTCCTAAATTGTTTCTCTACCACTGGCATGCACTCCCTTCTATATAGCTTTTTTTTTTTTTTAATGTTTATTGTGAATTATATGATAGTTTACATGGGAGAACACTGATTATATTTTTGTTAAAAAATAAACATTAGAATCTGTGTATGGATTCACCTTGAACTTTAAAACTTGCAAATATCTATCCTGTGCTCCTATAGATTTTATTGTTGTTGTTGCAATCATGCTGGTCTGATTCATAGCGACCCTGTATAGGGTTTCTGGAGCAGAAAACCTTATCTTTCTCTCAAGGAGCGATTGGTGAGCTGGAACTGCTGACCTTGTGGTTCACAGTCCAGTGCTTATATTACGGAGCCACCATGCTCCCTATCATTCTTATTCCAAAAGATCTTAAAAATAATCAGAATAATTTCTACATCGATTTGTTGTTTTGATGGTACTACTTTTATTAGTACTATCAAAAAGAACTCTAGCATGGGTCAGTTTAATAATCTATTGTTGTTGTTAAGTACCGTGGAGTCAGTTCCGACTCATAGTGACCCTGCACAGGGTTTCCAAGGCTGTAAATCTTTACGGGAGCAGAATGCCTCATCTTTCTCCCGCGGAATCGCTGGTAGTTTCGAACTGCCGACTTTGAGGTTAGCAGCCCAATTCGTAACTACTACGCTACCAGAGCTTCTTTTAATAATCCATAATAAAGTAAAATTAGAGAGAATAAAATTTTATGCAATGCATTTCACACATTTGGCAACATTTTAAATCGTATATTTAAACAATATTTCTTACAATAAATGTTTTAAAATCAATGCTATGTTTGAAAAATAAATATCAATTTATTATTTGGATAGCTCATGGCCTATGGTGGAAAACTGAGGTATAGTATGGCCTTCTATTCTTTGGATGGCATTGGCACCTCCAACTTTGAGCCTCAAGTTCTCATCAAAGGAGGCCGGACCAGAAAGCAAGTCATTTACATGGACGCACCTGCACCTGAAAATGGCGCAAGGCAAGAGCAAGAAGTGGGGATGAAAGAGGTGACTATGGGATCTTGTCGTGGTGGTGATGGTGGTGGGCCGGGGAGTCAGTTCCCACTCACAGCAACCCTGCATAGGGTTCCCAAAGCTGAAAATCTTTACGGGAGCAGAAAGCCTCATCTTCCTCCCCCAGAACGGCTGGTAGTTTTGAACTGCTGGCCTTGAGGTTAGCAGCCTGATTCATAACCACTACTCTACCAGAGCTCCTTGGGATCTTGTCATAGAAGCTCCTTAATGTAAATCTCACCATCAATGCAATGAAATTGTTCAACTGCTTATAGGAGAAGGAACAGTAAACCCTGAGATTAAAATTCCAATAAATTTAGAAAGATTTCTAGAAATTTTTTGAGTTTCAAGAAATGGATATTGGGCTTATATTAACTTATTTAATGGGAACTACATCTTAAATTCTTCATCTTGGTTCACAAGTCTCTGTCTGCACAGACATATGATATAGAAGTCTTGGGCTTGTTGAATTGGGGACTGTGAATTCATTGTGCATACATTTATTAAGTGCTGGCCCTATCTTCCATTATATGTATCTGTCAATAGGTAAATCTCACACTGTTCCTACTCCTGTTGAGGTCACAAGAGACCTTTCTCAGGTAAACTGAGTGTCATGCACAGAACTGCATTCATTTCTGGAAAAATGCATATAAGAAGCCTGTTCTTTGTGAGTTCAAATACTCTGAATTTAATAGAATGTTTTTCATCCACAGAGCTTTTGGAAATATTTTAACTCTGTTTCTGAAATGTCTGTAACACGCTCAGATTTTATGTCTGTGCTTAGTAACATTGAGTACATCCTCATCAAAGCCTCTTATGGTCAAGGACTACAGCAGAGTAGGTATGTGGAAGTTTTTTCTAGAACTTTACGTTTGATACAGAACTGAACAGATTTAATTTATCCACTCAGATTATCTACTGTATTGTTTCATGTTTCTCTGTTCCTCATCAAAACCCGATAAAGTAGTAATGTCTTTATGAAATAGTGATATAAAATAAGTAAAATATGGTGATAGCTAACATAAGGATAATTTTTTTTTAAAATCAAAAGTGCTATTTTCTCTGCCTTTAAATGTTGTACTGCCTATTTCTTTGTAAAGATGTATACAGAATGCTGGCAGCTGCTCATTAAATGCTTCAGCCCATAAAAAAGCAACTAAAATTTGGCCACACCAGTGCTTGAAGAAGTCTTTCAGATGTAGTTTCCTTAACCTTCTCTTGAACTTTAAAATATCATCTGACAACCTTCCCTGTTAATGACACTTCTAATGTACTTGAGCACATTATACTTGTAATCGTGTGTAGGAATACTACTAGCCTTGGAGAAAAGCTTAGGTTTGATATGAAACCACAGAAACAAACCTGCATTTGAGTCCATTCTGACTCATAGAGTCCACATAGGGTCAAGAAGAACTGCCCCACAGGGTTCCCAAGGCTGTAATCTTTATGGAAGCAGACTGCTACAGCTTTTTCTCCATGAAGCAGCTGGTGAGGGTGAAACACTGACTTCTTGGTTAGCAGCCAAGCACAACTATTTTATCACCAGAGCTTCTCTGGTTTAGTATGGTTGCTGGTTATATGCCATCAACTTTGTTCTAACTCATAGTGACCTTGTATAGGGTTTCCAAGGCTGTAAATTGGTACAGGAGCAGAAAGCCTCATCTTTTCTCTAATAGAGCAGCTGGTGGGCTCAAGCTGCTGACCTTCTGGTTAATGGCCCAACATGTAACCCACTATGCAGCCAGGGCTCCTTCTACTTTAATATAGATAGAAATAGGCAAAGTTAATATATCATGTGTCATATTTATTTCTAGAAGGTGTCTTTCTAAATATTCATGTTTATCTTCTCACTTGTTAATACAATGATTTCACAGAATCTCAAACATTTCAGTGGAGGTTAGCAGAAAGGAAGAGCTGCACCCAGGTAGAGAGAAGGCCTCCCTTGTAGAGAACTGTCTCTGCCCTCCAGGCACAGCTGGATTCTCCTGTCAGGTAAAGATGCTGTGATGAAATTCCACTTCCGGGTTTTGCAGCAACTCCAAATGATGAGCAGAGCTTGTGTGTACCTTTTAAGTCATTCTCTCTCTTTTTGCATCACCTCAGGACTGTGCTCCCGGGTACCACAGAGGGAATCTTCCTGAAGGGGGTGTCAGGAGATCCCATCTTCTGATTGCTCCCTGTATACCTTGTGATTGCAACAACCACAGTGAAGCATGTGATCCTGAAACTGGAAAGTGTCTGGTAGGTTTATCCATGGAGTCCAAGGTTTATCCATGGAGTGCTTATTTGACATGGAGAATTGGAATGGGAGGAGTGGGTTAATGTGCCAGACTGCAAAAGCCGTTTCAACTGCAAGGTTAGCAGTTCAAGCTCACCAGCTACTCCTCAGAAACCACAGGATCACTGTGGGTGGGAATACACATTATATGTGTGGAATTAAAGAATTATCCAGTCATGCAAGGCAAAACTAACTTAATAAAGTTGCAACACTTTAGAAAAATAAAATGTTCACTATACTCAGTTCATGCTCCCGATGAAAGCAAAAGCCTAATAGAGAAATCGAGAAGATCTCATTGAAAGGTTTACAGAGAATTGATTTTAGGAACTTAAAGATGGAATGAGCTGGGAAGGTACATTGTTCAATCATGAGAACAAAAGTCACATGGACCGTTTAAAGAACTTAGCCAATTCTTTCCAGTTTCATCTTTATTTGGTACACCTGTGGGGTACACCACCAGGTCAGTTTGACCCACAAAGTCTGTGGTTCAAACTCACCAGCTGTTCCTCAGAAATCCTACCGAGGGTTGCTATGAGTTGGAACAGACTCAGTGTCACTTGACAGCAACAACTATTTGAACACGATGAGGTACTCCTAGAATATTAAGTTATTACCCTGACTTTCCTGGCATTATTCCACCACAACAAAATTGTAAGATCAGCAGTTGATTTGTTGATTGGTATTCCTGAAGTAACCCTGTCGGCTTTAACCTAATCCATGAGAAAGCGCTTTGGACCAAGGTAAAGAACCTCACTCAGGAGCATGTTGTTGTTGTTGTTAAGTGCCGTCAAGTCAGTTCCGACCCATAGCGACCCTGTACAGGGTTTCTAAGGGTGTAAATCCTTACGGGAGTAGAAAGCCTCATCTTTCTCCCGCGGAACGGCTGGTAGTTTCGAACCACTGACCTTAAGGTTCGCAGCCCGATTCGTAACCACTACGCTACTCAGGAGCATAGTAACTGACAAACATCTGACAGTTCCCTGTTCAGGAGTAATAGTTAGCCTTTGAACCATAAGAAAGCCATGGAGTTTTGTTAGACCTCACCCGGGCCTGTTAATCAGATATTGCAGTACAAAATAGTGGTTGTATTTACTGCCAGGAGTCTGGACGAAGATTCTAAATGAGGATCATCTGCAACTTCATGCTGTTGAGCAGAGTTACTAGAGTTGTTGTTGTTAAGTGTCTTCGAGTCAGTTCTGACTCATAGTGACCTGCATAGGATTTCCGAGGCATGGCTAGTGGGTTTGAACTGCTGACCTTGTGGTTAGTAGTCCAATGCTGATCTGACAGCACCACACCAGGACTCAGAGTTGGTGTTAGCAGTGGAAAACCTGTCAATTTGCTACACTCCTCTCTTATGATTTTATATGATGATCTAATAAAACAAGTATTTAATGCGTTTACTTTCTGAAAAGAGGTTGCTAATCAATTGTTCCTTGGAAACCCTATACAGGGTCTCTAGGGCCAAAACTAAGTCAACAGCACTTAACAACAACAACAACAATCTTACCTCTAAGGAGAAAATAGTTTTAGAGGCCAAATGAATCCTAACCAAATGTTTTTTATCAGATGAAATGGAAATGCAATTTTTAAATGAAAACAAGAAAAACCTGAATATGTTTGAATCTAAAAGGGACTTAACTATGATTTTTCAATATGCAAAGAGATCTCTTTCTACAGCACCCCTTACTTCCAAAAACATTTTACTTCCAGAAAGATCTCTTTCTACACCACCCCTTACTTCCAAAAACATTTTACTTCCAGAAAGGTCTCTTTCTACACCACCCCTTACTTCCAAGGGTAAAATAGGAGTCAGTATGAGAGTTCGCTCAGGTGTTCCTCATTGATCCTTCTCCTTCTCTCCTGGCTGCTCCAAACCCTGTCCTGTGTCCTGTGCATAGTGCAGTCAGAGAAAGTTGCAGAAAGATGAATAAAAGCAGATATTAAATTAGAATTTGACATCAAGAACTGCTTGCTTTTTTTAGTTAAAAAAAAAAAAGGTATAGGTAATTTTTTTAAATAGCAAAAGCAATAGGTCCACATGCCATAAAATTTAACTGGAAATGATTTGATTAGAACAAGAATCTGTTGGTAATGCTGCAAGATCATCGGGTTTCATTCCTCACAATCTATTTCCTCAATTATCTGTTTGCTTGTGCTGTTTAAATTGTCTGCATGTGATTGTTGACCCCTGACTATGTGCTAAAGAAGTGCCCCTGCATTGGCTTGAGGGTTACTGTCTGCCTTAAATCCTTGTTTTAAGGATCTGAAAGGTGGTCTGTTTTAGGAGCACAGTGCATAATTTCTTCAGGAAGAATGTGCTAGTAATTTCTAGGCTGTGTTAGATGGACGCCATCTTGTAATGAATGAAAACCATAGAACTGGACATGCTTCCAAGATTAAAAATACAAAAATAATTTAAAACTCTACATAAATATATATGTACATGAAAATAGTCTCTTCTTAAGAATAAAAAGAAATGCTGATTGGTAGGAAATAATGGTGGTTACCAACAAGTCAGTTCTGATAGGGAATGTGTTGGTGCATAGCTATTGTGAGATATGAATGATTTCTAACCATTTCCCATTGTTTATCTTTCTGTTTGAAATGTGGGACCCAGAACTGCAGTGACAACACTGCTGGGGACCACTGTGACAGGTGTGCCCCTGGGTACTATGGGAAGGTGACTGGCTCCGCCCATGACTGCTCTCTGTGCGCCTGCCCTCACAACCACTCTGCCAGGTGAGCTTGCACAGCCGGGCAGCCTTCTCAACCAAAGCTATAGTGTTGTCCATCCTAAGCCTTATTTTTCTGGATTTCTAAGTGGTCTATTTTAATAGATATTTTCCATCTGTTGAGAATAGCTGATTTTAAGAAAAAGTTTTCTCTTGGCATTTGAAGAGTGTCTTCAAAAGCAAATTATTTATGTTGTTACTGGGTGTTAGAATAGAACCAGTTAAAGAAAACACTTTCAAATTTTGCCTTTTTTAAAATTATTTTATGATAAACTTTAGCCCTCAAACTATGTATCCAGTGTGCATAAAGATGAATTATTATTCATTGTATTAATCATGGTGTGGAAAGAATTCAATTCCTGTTTAATTTAAGGACATGGTTAGGATTTATATGTGCTGATGACTGATTAAGTACTGAAATGTGTACAGTGATAAATTGGGCTAGGTTCTGTCTTGCACTCATGTTGCTTGTATAGGATCATCTGGATGTGAAAAAACAAGAGGTGTGAAGTGGGAATATGTATGACTGTTCTTTGGTTAAAATAAAAATTGTGATTCATAAATGTTTTATTATTACTTATAATGAGTGGCAATATGTTTTATAATATACAGTACTGGTATCCTGAAATGAAGTTTTCATTTTAATATTTGTTTGAATATTCTATCTTTCATTGTCTCTAAGTGAATAATGCTTGATGGAATCAGATGAGACCTTCTACCTAAAGTTAGTTCCTTTATAAACTGTCACACATCCCAAGATTTCTTTCTGTCATTTAATATTGTATATTAAATTTCTGTATAAATTTTGAGTCCTCCATTCAAATTCTGTAATCTATGTTTTAGAAATACTTGCATATGTATTAAAAGATAGGTATATTATAGTTTACCCATCTTAATAGATGGAGTCCTGGTGTGGCACTGTGTGTTAATGCGCTGGACTGAAAAGTCAGTTTGAACCACAAGGTTGGCAGTTCAAGCTCACCAATCGCTCCTTGGAAACCCTATACTGGGTTGCTATGAGTCAGAATGGACTCCATGGCACTTCACAACAGCAACATATTGTAGTCTTGCTCATGTCATGAGAAATTAACAGGATAAATGGAAATAACATACCTACAAGGTATTAATTGAATACATTGTGATACACTCCTGGAAAGCAATGTTGTGAAGAGACTGAGAAAAGAATATGATGTAGCAGTATGTACAGACCTAAGAGCTGCAGAACTAAACATGTATATTTTGAAACAAGTTCATCTCTGTGTATCTACGGTCACAGCCTTAGCTGTCCTGTGCTAGAGAAGTGCCTGGAAGGATGTTTTACTTTTCTGTTTTCCACAGTTCTGCATGTTTGAATATTTAACTTCTTCAATCAAAATATTCTCATTCTCAAAAGCCCCTGTCAATAAATTAAAAGTTATGTTATTAAGAAGAACCAGTGAATTTAAGAGACCCTAAAAGATGAGCCCTGGTGTGCACTGTCGGTTAATGTGCCAAACTGCAAAGCCATTTGAACTGCAAAGTTGGCGGTTCAAACTCACCAGCTGCTCCTCAGAAGCCCTATACAGGTTGGTTGCTATGGGTCAGAACCGACTCCATGGCACTTAGCCAACAACAAAAAATGATTTTTGTTTTTGTATGTATTTTGAGTTTTCACTGAAGTGTGTCCCATTTGCTTTTTAAGGAGGAAAGAAAGTCAGAAGTGGTGTGGGGCTGATGGCTCACCCTGTAACTCCTGCCTGGAAACTTCATCTTAAGATCAAAAAGGAGCGGCCTTTTTTTTTTTTTTTAAATAGTTGGCAGATACCCAGTTTGACCACTAGATGGTGCACTAGTAATTTAAAATGTGACGACAAGGCTGTTTGAAAAAACAAAAGTGCAACCCATGAAGGTGTAGATCAACATCCCAGTAGATGATTATACTTCTAGTCATTTTGCTAGCAATAGACACCAGATGACTTTTTATCCACTTACGCTCAAATTCCACCCTAATTCTTTACTTTTCTTTCCTATTTTTCTTCCTTGCCTGTCCTTACAATCTGATTGGTTATACTAATACTTGCTCAGCTTTCTTCTCCAAACCGGTTAGTCATTTGCACCTCTATCATTACCTTATCATTTCATGAGCCAAATGACTCTTCACTGAACTGTCAGGAGATTCTTCTTACCTGGAAAGTGTCTTGTTTGCTGACTAACTAGTCCTAGACAAATGTCTAGAGGATGTCTTTTATATACAAGATCTCCCTTCTTTTTGTCTAGTAGGTGGTAATGCCTAAAGATCTTGTCTTGTTGCCCAGTGTAATTACTTAACTTTTAGGACAGTATTGTGTATCCTAATAGTAATGGATACTTTGCCTAAAGAAAGAGTTGAGGTTGTAGATCATCTGAAGCTTTTGTTTTAAATTGTTTTTGCCTCCAGCTTTAGTCCCACCTGTATCCTGGAAGGGGATCATGATTTCCGTTGTGATGCCTGTTTTCCAGGCTATGAAGGACAATATTGTGAAAGGTATGCTGTTGAGTTATCATAAGGAAATTGCTAGGCACATCTCTCCTGCTTAATAATGATATAATGGATGTATTTACTAAAGTGAATTGCAAGTCATTCTGAATTTGTACATGATTGTTCCACGATCTTCTTACTATCCCAAAACAGGTTCTTTGGGTTAAGATAGTAAATGCACATTCTGTTACCATCTCATCTTCCTTTTAGGGAATAAAATGTAGAATGAGGTACAGGTCTTTGGATATTTGCATGTCATTTCATAACATTGATGGCTGTCCTTGGACAAAGGATGGCCTACATATTTACTTAATGTTGTTGATTGTACCTAAATATCCTCATTTCTGTAGATGCTCCTTGGGTTACCATGGAAACCCTCGTGCACCAGGGGGCAGCTGCCAGAAGTGTGAATGCAGCCCACTTGGTTCGGAGCACAGTTCCTGTGATGGCCTCTCGGGTCAGTGTGTCTGCAAGCCAGGAGCCACGGGGCTGCGATGTGACCAGTGTGAACCCAGGCACATTCTACTGGAAAGTGACTGCATTTGTGAGGATTTCTTCTCTATGTATTTAAATATTGGTCTTTGCTCCAATGTTTTCTTTGTGAGGAAACAGTAAACATACTGATCTTCCAACTTATACTATAGAACCTGTCTTCTTGCTTTGTTTTTTAACTAAACAGGTGTTGGCATTGAATCAGCCAAGTTACACTTATAGTAATGCGTTTGTCTTAGTTATCAAGTGCTGCTGTAACATAAATACCACAAGTTGGCAGCTTGAACAAATAGAAATTTTATGTTCTCATCATTTTAGGAGGCTAGATGTGTACGCTGAGGGTGCTGACTCTAGGAAGGCTCTATCCACTCTAAAGGGAAATCAAGCATTAGTTCAGATTCTCTGACATTCCCTGGTGATCTTTATGTGGCTTGTGTCTTCCCCTCCATTTCTGCTTCATTTTCTTTGCCTAATCTGCTCTTTTTATATCCCAAAAGGTTTCAAAACACACTCTATGCTGACATGGGTTCATTAACATAATAAAGAAAATCCAGTTCCCAAAGGAGAACACAGCTGTTTTGAGATGAGGCAAGAGGAAACAGGATCATAGCATTTTTTTCTTTGGCAGTCTAAGAAACATAGTAACTTTAAATTTATAGGTTAGTTGCTAAAGTTGTAATATTTGCCTTGAAGGATCAAGGGGCAGCCAGTTCAGGAAAGGGAAGACCTTCGTGGGATTCTCATTTGTGTTACCCAAATTTCACTATAGCTTCAGTTCTTTGTGTCATAGATTTTCCCCTAGTTGTAATTTATTTTAATAGTCAGAGCCTCAAGTAGTAATGTTGGAGAGTCGTCTTCTCAGTGGTTCATGGGATGAAGGGAGGAAGTCAGGTTAGGGTCATGGAACTCTCCCCATTATTTTCTCCAGTCTACTTTATTTGTGCCTACTAAACATGTGTCTGCCAACTGTCTGATACAATGATCAATCAGGCTTAAAAAAGGAAACACATGTGCAGTTCATTGCAACTAGTTCAAGTTAGGAGCCCTGATAGTCTAGTGTGTTACAGATTGGGCTGCTAACCACAAGCTCAGCAGTTCAAATTTACCAACCACTCCACAGGAGAAGGATGAGGCTTTCTGCTCCTGTAAAGATTTACAGCCTCAGAGAGCCGATACAGTGGTGCTATGAGTCGGAACTGGCTCCGTGGTATGCAGTAGCAGGAACAGTTCAAGTTAATGATTAGCAAATGCACTCTAAGGTTTGTAGAGGGCATTATAAGGAGACTTGTGCCAGACCTGGGCTTGAGTCCAGGGCTCAGCTGCTTCTGTTATCTATCTAAGTCCCAGGACTATCATTTGAGGACAGTGGTTTAGCTTATCTTGTCCCTTCCTCCCACTGTACAGCTGATGTGAGAATGAAATCAGGCATGGTACCTGGAAGGACTTTCTACTGTACTCTACCATTACACAAGGGAAAGCCAAACAGTATTGCTACAAAATGGTAGAAACCTTTATTGTACAAAAAAAATGAAACTGTGAAATGATGGTTTCCTGACAGACTCTCCATCTAGGTCTATACACTTTTGAAGGCAGTGTTTCCATCTCTTTAACCCTTCCTAAAGTATTCTGTACTCTTCGTTTTATACCACATGAAAATGGCAGTTTTTGCTTCCTCCATACACTCCAATCATGTTTCTTTCCAGTGTTCTTTGAGTCTGGGGAATAAAAAGAAGTCTGAACAAAGTTAAAGGGTGGATGGGGTAAGATTTCCCAATGAAATTCTCAAAGAACAGCTCTTGCTACCCTTGAAAAATAAGCAGATGCATTGTCATGATGGAAAGTAAATCCCTCAGTACAATTTTCCTGAACTTTTTTTTATTCATTAATACAGTTTTCAGTTTTCTTAAAATTTCATAATAAGCCCCAATGAACACTGTGTGTTCTTCGAAAAAAATCTATCAAGATTACTCCATTGGGGACCCAAAAAACAGTAACCATAAGCTTCTGAGCTGGCCTTTCTGCCATGAGTCTAACTGGCCCAGCAGATCCCCTGGAAAGTCACTGTTTTGATTGGACCTCTTTTTTTTTTTTTTTTCAAATCATCTTAAGAAGACTTTGACAAGTATATTACTAAGATAATTTGTCTGCAGCCATCCACTGATCACAGAGACCGGTTTAAACATATTTTGTTTGAAATAATCCTTTGTGTGTATCAACTGGAATCTGGTAGCAATGCCTTTTGACTCATCCTTGTATATTATTATTGCAAACTGACTTATGCAAACCCAGGTGAAACTGTGTAGACAACTGAGCATTAACTCTAAGTTTCTTTTCTTTTCTCTTTTAGCTTGTGATGATGAATGTATAGGTGTGCTGTTGAACGACTTAGATAGTATTGGCGACACCATTCTGTCTGTGAACCTCACTGGCATAATCCCTGTCCCCCATGGAATCTTGTCAAATCTGGTAAATACAACAATGCATCTTAGGGTAGGTACTATGCACAGATATGGAGAGAAACATATATCATTGAGAAGCTTAGTCTGTTGGGACTGTTGAAGTCATTCTGTCTGCCTTTGCCCAGTATAGGGATTCCATTTCCAGCATCCATGATTGGTGGTTTTCAGCCTTTCCATGAACATGACCAGTAACAGAGATCCTACCATGTCAGAAGATAACTTAACGTCACTGTGGGACTGCTATCATTGAAATATTGCTCCACAGCTGCCTCCTTATAAATTCATCCTCCATGCTGCTAACTCTGATTTTTGGAATACAAACTCCAAGCCTTCCTCTTTAAAAAAGACCTTTGGATGTTTGGAAACAGTTGTTCTAATACAAATTAATCTACCCAGTTTTTTCCTTAATGTTGAAATACACTAAAGATGAATGGTTTTCTATAAATGTGTCAATAGAGGTTGCAGGGCACAGAAGTCCCTCTTCCCTGGAAGACTACATAAAAATCTTTAGTTTTGTATTTTGTCAAAACAGGGAAGAAAGTTAAGAAACTGACCTAGTAGATAGCATTCGACTCAGTATTTTTAATTCTAAATGGGGAAAAAAGTGATTTAAATTTTTTGCTTTTTACCTATACATTATGCTTTATGACAGTTTATTTACTGTGTAATGCAATCATAAATGATGGTCATTTCTGAATGCCTTTGTTAGATGCAGGTTTTTCTTAAACTTGCTATTTGTGTATAAGTGTGTGACTATGTGTGTGCATGTGTGCGTGTGTGCATGTGGGAGTTCTAGGACTTGCTTACAAGGGTATTTTCTCCATAGACATACTAGCAATAAAGAAAGACTCAGGCAGTCAAAGAGATGTTTTATGTTATTTATTTTCTTCAAAAGGCAAAAATGATTTTGAAAATAATGAGAGGTTTTACATGCATAAATTTTTTTAAAAGGGCAAGAAAGATGTTTAAATTTATCTTTGAATTGATATTTTGGAGCCCTAGCATGGCGCGGTCAGATAAGAGTTGCACTGTAAGGTTGGTTTGAACCACAAGGTCGGCAGTTCAAACTTACCAGCAGCTCCTTGGAAACACTATACTGGGGTGGCTATGAATTGGAACTGACTTGATGGCACTAAAACAACAACATAGGGTTTCCATAGGTGTAATCTTGGTTCAAGCTCACCAGCCGCTCCTTGGAAACCCTATACAGGGTCGCTATGGGTCGGCATAGACTCAATGGCACTCAACAACAACAACAATCTTTACAGAAGCAGACTGCCACATCTTTCTCCACAAAGTGACTGGTAGTTTCTATGTTACAATCAATGACCAAACTTTGGTTAGTGTCAAGCACTTAAACCACTGTGCCACCAGAGCTCCTTTCACAATTAATCCCAAATATTTTAAATACTTAGCCCCTTGATTAATGTAAGATATTTATATCACTGAGGCCCAAATGGACAGTAAATAATATTTGATTGTGCATATATATCAATTGTTGTTCAGTGCCATTGAATCATTTTCGACTCATAGCAACCCTGTATAAGGTTTTCAAGGAGCAGCTGGTGAATTTGAACCACTGACCATTGCAAACTGATCTTGTAGTCCAGTGCTTATCCCCCTGCACCACACCAGGAAACCCTATGGGGCAGTTCTCATCTGTCTATAGGGTAACTATGAGTCCAACTGGATGGCAACGTACCTGGTTTAGGTTCTACTAATTGTGAGTAGGAGTCCCGATGTGGCACTGTGGGTTAATGCGTCAGACTGAAAAACCGTTTGAACTACAAGATTGGTGGTTCAAGCTGCTCCTCGGATACCCTATGCAGGGTAGCTATGGGTCGGAATCGACTCGACAGTACTTCACAACAATTGTGAATAATTTTGAACTTATCTAAATCATGTGCCCATTCTTTTAAATTACTTTTTATGTGTATGTAAAAGACATATCAGAGGTTAAGCATGTGGCTGCTAGAGTTGAAACTGACCAGTTACTGCTGCCCTTTATGTGCCCTTTGGCAGATTCCATAGCATGACCCCTAAATTCCCTCAAGGTAAAGTGAGAACAACAATATAGTCACTTCTAGGATTGTTGTAAAGTTTAAATTAATATATGAAGTATAGAAATTAGAAGAGTGTTGGCATAAATGGAGCACTTAATTGTTCCATTATAAAAAACTTTTCTTCATTTAATAATTTTGTATTTTAGCTTAGCAAGCATTGTTTTATGGTGTTGTCAGTTATAATTAAAATGTACATGACTCTGGTATTATTGAAATAAAAACAGACTTCTATATAAGAATTATAGGCTCACGTTTCACTCAACGCACCAAATTTTAAATTTAATCAAACTACCTTATCTGATATTACTCAACTTTTGCATGATTGGATTCTCTCCAAATCTGCTAAGAGTGAAATATGTAAATAAATGATGAGCTGGTTTTGTGATGATACAATACCTGATTGTTTATAATTTTGTGTATATTAATGTTTCTGTCTTAAAAGACACTTTATATGATTTATATCTATCTTGGAAAGACAAAAGTTGGAAGCATAAAGTCATGCTGACATAATTAAAGCTTAAGAAAAAATATGGTAAAATGTGATTAACTTTTTAATGACAATTTCAAGGAAAGAATAATTTCTGTGAATAAAAAAAGAAAAAGAATTAAGAATCGGAACATTTTATTTTGAAGTTTTGTAATTTATTCCTTTCATTCTTCCTAGGAAAATTTATTCAAAGAAAATTCTCTGAAGGAACTGGCAAAAATTCAACTGGATGGTGTTGCAGAACAGATCCAGAACTTGGAAAAAACGGTAAATGCTGACCCACCTCCTGCCAAGCCCCTAACACCAGACCTAAGAGCATTCTTAATGAGGTTTGCTGAAGGTTCTGGCTAGATCCTGGCAGCCTCTTCCCTACTGGGTTGCGCGGAAGTATTCACCATCAAATTGGTTTTAACCCTGCCAGTTTCTATGCTTTAGTGGGAAAGGGCTTCTGATTTAATTGCTCTTGTCATCTCTGCCAAGGGAGCAATTGGGCAAGTCACTTTGAATTCCCTGTACTCCTCTTAACCATGAGGAGTAGGGATGCTGAAACCCCTCAGGGCTTTTCTGTCTCTTAAATTCATTCTAACAGAGCCAGAGTGAGTGCAGTGGTCTGCTCAGAGGTTGAAAACTGAGGACCCCTGTAGCTTCCTATGCAGGGTGGGTGCAGCCCCAGCCTCACTATCCCATGTCTGTGCAGAAGGCAGCCTGAGCTGCAGCTCAGAGATTTTGGATTGTTGACTTTGCTTGGCAATCGAGCTACTTTTACGTCACAGTGAATTCTTTCTTCTGTTTAGCCCATGCCAGCCAGATGAATGGTTTTTAGTGACCCAAAAAGAATATCCTCGTTGGTAGGCAGTCAGGAAGGCCCATTTTCAACTTTAGAATTTTACACTTATGAATTTAGTGTGTGCATGCATGTACCTGTGTGCACATTTATATATATATATAAACAACTGTGCATTTAGTCTCTGCCTGTACACACATGCACACACGGTCATGCACCCTAAAAAAGTGTTTGCTTGGCTCCTGTTAATTGAGAATTAATGATGATTTGGGAAGAGTTCAAGGCTTTACATGTGGACTTTAAATATTTCAGAGTAAACATTTATTTTAAGCTGATTAAAATAAATCATCTCCATTCATTACAGAAGATTCTCTCTCTTTGGATCTTGAATAGAAAACATTTACAGACTTAGTTAACCTTATATTCTTGGAAATTACAAGTAATCCTTCCTTTTGCAAACTATAAAATTCCCAGTAAAAATAATAGCACTATGGACTTCACACTTACTAGACACTATTGCATGTTAGTCTCATTCATATCAGCTCTTTGGAGGGTTATTATATCCTGATTATTGTGAAGAAGTATTTGGTCAATAGCGTGGCGGAATCAAGCCTAAAATCCAGCTCACCTGATTTCTTGATCTTAACTCATACACTGTTTTCATAATCAATGCAAATTAGGAAGATTTTACTTTCTCTATTCAGTATATTTGGGTCCTAAAGTGAATACAGCGGGAGTCTGAAGTTTGATAGCTAAATGGACATCTTTTAAAAATATATCATCTTTTTGCATAAGTAGTAAGTTAATTCATTAACCACTTACCTTCCGGTTCTGAACTAGTAACCTTGATTTGCGTGATAGTGTACATCTTTACTTTAAAATCTGGAATATATGTTGTTGTTTAAAAGAGACAACTGGAAATATACCAGAATTTGTATATTTAAAGCCAGACTGGCCTGCCACTTCTTTTCTGTTTGCAGCTCACCAGACTGCAAACAAGTAGCCAAAGAGTGACCAAGGCCACTGAAGGAGTCCTCCACAAGGGAGAAGGCCTCAGGATGTTTATTGAGAAGCTGCAGAGAGACATCACAGGTAGGGGGATTGGGTGTTAGCCACACCCCCTAACACTGTCAGAGGGGCTGACGCCAAAATGGCCTGGGGTCTGCAGCAACTATGTGTAGCGTGCCTAGCACCTGGGAGAGGGTGGGGGTATGGGTGCACTAAGACAGTGGCATCATTAGGGTAGGTGACACCTGTCATCCAGTGCAGTGACTTGTCACCATGCCAACCCTGTCACCCACCAAGGTGCGGGCAAGTGGACCACAGTGCCCATCACTGGGCAGAGAGGAGGGTCTCCACCTTGATCAATGGGAGAGTAGGGAAGAGCTTCGAGGAATCATGGGTCGGGGAAGGGGGTGCACCTTGGATGGCAGTAGCTCTTTTGTGGGGTTAGGGCTGGGCCGTTCTACCCACCATGGGTAGGCTGACTAGCTGCCAGCCCTAGAGGAGTGAAGTCAGGGGGTAAGGGGTGAAGGATGTGATACCACAGTGGGTTCCCTGTGACTGTGTCCAGTGTGGGGCCTGTGCAAATACTTGACTGAAAGAAAGATACATTCCCTTTCTTAATTAAGGTGAGTGCCAGACACTGCACTGGACTGCCTGAGCCAAAGGTCCGGGAGGGGGCTTAGTTTTGAGATCCTGAAAGGGCCTGGCCAGAGTCTTTTACTGTGAGTTTCTATTTGTTTTTAAATGCACATTTCCTTTTTTATGTGCTACTCTGGTAGCGTAGTAGTTACGAATCGGACTGCTATCCTTAGGGTTAGCAATTCGAAACTACCAGCTGCTCCATGGGAGAAAGATAAGACTTTCTGCTCCTGTAAAGATTTACAGCCTCGGAAACCCTGTACAGGGTCACTATGAGTCAGAACCGACTCCACGGCACATAACAACAATACTATACCTTATAGCTAGGGCCTGATTATCAACCCCATTAGGGTAAAATAGAAATGGTACCTTTCCATCCCTCTGCTCAGAATAGCTGCTACCAGTAGCTGGGGTATGAATTCAATGCCAAGATATAACCATGGTATTAGGATAATGTATTCAGTACTCAATTAGGATGTCTTATCTAATTTGCCTTTTAGCATGATATTTTCAGTCTTTCTGGTTGCCAGAAACATATTTTGGCTTTTCTGATTATAGTGTAAGACATAAAAAGAATAGAATCCAAGGCAAATCAGACATTACTGAACAAAGTTGAGGAAATTATTAAAACATAAAATATGTTAAATAAGAAGAGAAGTATCAAGTATTAGGCTCATTCGTGCAGTAAAAAACTTATTGAGCAATTTCTATATGCCAGGTGCAGGAAAATGCAGAGGTAAGGATGACGGATAGACCTACCTTTGTGGAGTTTATTGTGGGTATTGGGGAAGGTAAATATAAAATAATCCAGTAACTTTAAATCCAGAGTGTTTTGTTAGGAGATATCCAGCTTGTATTGGAATGTATGAGATGGCCCGACCTGGCCAGAAAGTCCAAGTCAGATAAAATAAACAGCAGACTCACTGAAAAAGGTTCTAGGTCTTTCCATTTAGTGCTGTCAACTTTTGAGAAAATAATATTGATGCATATACTATAATACTAAATCATATTTATACATTTTCTATATAGACATTATAGACAAAGCAACAGCTCTTAATCAGACCTTGGATGAAGATTTCCAGCAACCTTTTTCTATTCTTCAAAATATGCAAGAGAACATTACATCTTTGCTGGAAGCTATGCAGAAAAAGCATTTAATGCATTTATACCAAAACACCACCATTGAACTCAAGTAAGTTGCTCAGTATTATTCACGATATAACCAACTAGAGATAGGAGGGAGAAGAAAGCATAATGGAAGAAGATGAAAAACTCTTACTGGAAGAAGAGATATATTAAGATAAGAGAGAGACCCTGTGATCAAACAAATCAAGAGGTGGGTTCTAGCCTCATCTCATTCTGCTGTAACAAATGCCACAATTGGATGGCTTTAGTAAACAAATTTATTTCCTCACAGTTTACAATGCTAGACGTCCAAATTCAAAGCACTAGCTCTAAAGAAATGTCCTTGTCTTCTTTCAGCATGTATCTTTGGCATCAATCTTTCCTGAATCTAGGAGCTTCATGGCTCTCCTCAGGTCAAAAGGACGAACTCCACTCCCAACTCTTCTTTCTTAATGGTAGCAGGTTCTTTCTTGGCTCACATCTATCTAAAATAAAAGATGCTGCAGACCGCACCTCTGGGAAACTCCCTTACATTCGATCAGGGTTGTGATAGGATTAAGGGTATTGAAACCCTGGTGTGGAGCTGTGGGCTAATGTGCTGGACTGCAAAGTCGGTTTGAACCACAAAGTCAGCATTTCAAGCTCATCAGCTACTCCTTGGAAACCCTGCACAGGGTTGCTATGGGTTGGAACCAACTCAACAGCACTTAACAACATCAACACAATAGGGTACTCCTAAAAATATGTGGCACTCTGCGTTAATGCACTGGACTGCACAGTTGTTTGAACTGCAGGTCAGTGGTTCAAGCTCACTAGCCACTTCTCAGAAACTTTATACAAGGTCCCTTTGGACCAGAACTGACTCAACGGCACTTAACAACAACAAAAAAAATATGTAGAAACTTAGTTAAGTCATGATTCTCAGTGGTTTGGCTTTTATGTAATGATGTAATGTGGCAGTTAAGTAATGATTCCCCATGATGTAATCTAATGTAATAAACCAATAAGAGGGTTAAGGGTGGGTTGGTGTTCTTGTTAAGTGCTGTCAAGTCCGTTGAGACCCTATATTGGGTTTCCAAGGAGTGGCTGGTGAGCTGGAACCACTGACCTTGTTGTTCAAACCACTTTGCAGTCCAGTGCTTATCCTACAATTCCACACCAGAGCATGCTCCAAATAAAACAGCAGTGTAATCAACACCAATATCCCAATCTTTTTGTCATTATGTATTTGTTATTGTTGTTGTTTTTCTGTGATTCTGGAATGACAGTGCCATCTAGAATGGCACTAGAACCTCACGATTACTGTCTTTAGTATAGATTGAGTGCAATGCAATCAACTCTCACAGAAGATAAACTACAGTCTGTGGCTGACCATGCAGTCCACCAACCTCCTATCAGCTGATAGTGCTGTGGTGATTTACTTGTGTTTCAGATACCATCAGGTTCACCCATAATGAAGAAGTTTCAGTGGAACTTCCATATATAAGACAGCATGGAAGAAAAATCTGACAATATACTTTGAAAAATTAGCCAATGAAAACCTTATTGATCACAATAGAACATGTCATTTGTAACTCAACTGCTGGGGGAATTTTGGTCATTAGAGAAAGTGGAAATTTATGGCTAAATTTAAGGTGAAGGGAGAAAGTAAGCAAAGGGTCAGGATCACAGAAACATGGGTTATAATCCAGTACAGGTGTATAGACATCATGTAAAATAACTCTAGAAGAGAAGGGCAAGTGTTCAGGTGAAAAGGTTGTACAGAAGTCAGGTAGTGGTAGTGTGCTATGCAGTTGATTCTGACTCATAATGAGCCTGCATAGGGTTTCCCAGGCTGTAAATCTTTATGGGAGTAGAAAGCCTAATCTTTTTCCTTCTGAGCAGCTGGTAGACTTGAACTGCTGACCTTCCATGTAGCAGCCCAACCTGTAACCCATTATGTTACCAGGGCTCATGTAGAAGTCAGGAGCAGTGGGTAATTATCATCCTAACTCATGTTTGTGAACATTAGCACTGAGGTCCTGGGACCACCTTAAGTGGGCCTTAGTTATGCCCCTCTGTGTACACTGCCCTGCAAGTCTTGCTCTAACCCATCTAGTCTAGAGCTGACCTAGCACATACCCAAATCCCAGGCTTCCAGGAAGAAAGCAGGTGTTCAGCATGGAGCACATTGTTTGCACAAACAATAGCCACACTTGTCAGTTAGGGAAACCTGGAAGCTTCCTGAATTTCAAGCTCACAGATGCCTGCAAGGTCAACCTTGCATGCAGGTCCATCTGAGGGTGGCATGCAGGTCTGCTGTGTTGACCCTTCGTTGTACACCATGGGGGTCATTGTTTCCCATCTGTCTTCCACAGTGTGCTCCCAGAACTATGTAAAAATATTTTATTTTAAAAAATATGTTCTGTGGTCGGAAAATTCTGTGTCTTCTAAATTCAGAAAATTCAGTGTCTCCTAAGGAAAAATCCTCTTTATGCTAGTCTTCTTAGAGATTTTTAAATGGATCTCCAAGAGGGACCTGAAGCAAAGCTAAGCTTGTTTTATTGAGGAACATTTTCTCATGGAATTCAACAGCCATGGAGAAATGCCCTTTGAGAAACACTGGTTTACTATATTAATTGAGTTAATTTTACTGGAGGAAGTTAAAAATATATATGAATCTTTTAAGAATATTTTAAAAAGCTGAATCTGTTTTTAATAAAGTCATTAATGACTGTCATTTCATTTGGTTGCAGTTTAGGTAGTAACATCATTTCATAGGCAAAGATTTCACCTCTAAAAATTTATTAGATCTCTTTTTTATTATTATTGTGAATACCCTATGGGATAGTTCAAGTCTGTTGGGTAGGTTAAGTCTGATAGGGTCACTATGAGTCAGAATCAACCTGATGGTGGTGGGTTTTATTGGTATATATCCATTTCCAAATATTTTCATAGCCCCAAACAAAATCTCAGTACCCTTTAAGGAATTTCTTTCCCATTCCAACCCCTGAAAACTACTAATAAATGTTTCTCTCTATGTCTTTCCATATATGTGAGATCATACAATATTTGTCCTCCTATGTCAGACTTATTTCACTCAGAATAATGTGTTAAAAGTTCATCCGTGACCTAGCATGCATCAGAACTTCCTTTCTATTTATGATTGACTAATATTCCATTGCGGGAGAAAGATGAGGCTTTCTGCTTCTGTAAAGATTTACAGCCTTGGAAACCCTGTACAGGGTCGCTATGAGTCGGAACCGACTCCACGGCATATCACAACACAACAACAAAATATTCCATTGCATGTATATATACTACATTATGTTCTTCCATTTATCTGTTCATGAACGTTGGGTTGTTTCCATCTTGTGTCTACTGTGAATAATGAGGTGTCTGTTTTCACGTTTTGGGGGCATATGCCTAGAGGTGGAATTTAGATGAGTGCAAGGTTGTAGCATAATTACATGTTCAATTTTTTTGAGGAACTACCAGAGTGCTTCCTTTAGTGTTTTCTACTTTACATTCATTTACTTTAGATACATTGCAGACATACCAGCAATACATGGAGGTTTGAACTTCTTCACCCACCTTGTTTTCTGACAATAGTTAGCTTAGTGAGTAGGATGTGATATCTCCTTGTGGTTTTGATTTGCCTTGCCCAAATCAGCACTGGACTGAGAACCACAAGGTCTGCAGTTCAAATCCACCAACTGCTCCTGCAAAAACCTATACAGGGTCACTATGAGTCAGAACCAACTGCAGAACAACTACAACAATATTGCTTATAAAATCTTTTGATGAACACAAGTTTTTAATTTTGATAAATTTAAATTAAAAAAAAATTTTGTTGCTGATGCTTTTGGTGTCATATCTAAGAAACCATTGTCAAAAACTAGGTCCCGGTTCCGGTTTGCCAGCGTGGCGAGACGGTGCTCGTGAGTAGGGGCTCTGGGATCGGGAAAGGGAAGCTGGAGAATTGAGCCTCCCAAGTGGGAATTCACAGTCACACGGCCCTCGTAAAGCTTAGTGCGCCAGAGGCTTAGACCCGTTTCATTGAGAAATCACTGTGCAAGGAATTA